CCGTAGTATGAAGCTCTTTTGCACAAAATGAGTCCACGCTCTAAGCAACGCGAGAACGCCGATGTATCTTGTATTCTACACTTCGTTTATTTTCGGACGAAATTCGCATAATTAATCACTAGGAGTAGTGAAACTGCAACTGCCGGAAGTACAGAAGTTTTTACTGTATTCAACAAAGAAGAGTTAAAAAGCTGAACTCCACCGCGTCGTCCTATGTTCAACCAGCTCCCATTTTATTTGACCACCCTATCCGGAGCTGTAGGTGGTGCATGGAAGAAGTCGATCGACTTGTTTGTTCTGTGGTAAGAAGCGAAACATTTTGATCTCCTATAAAGTCGATACATTTGAAGCCATGCCACACCTTGGCGCCCATTTTGAACGACTTTTGAACGGTAGGATCTGAATTTTTAACTTCTGAAATGCAAGCATTAGTAAATTCTAGGGTATTCCTCCGCAAAATATACAGATTGCAGTTTGAGGTATTCCTATCAAGTAGATGATTCCCACTGCTGTAGAGAAGGCAGAACGTTCCGAAACACTTAACATCGTGAAATAAATGTTTTAAAAAATTAAAGTATGTCAATATGTATTCTTTCTTGATAAGCTTGCACGAGGTTAATAAATATATTTATTTTCGGCTAACGTTTCGACGTCTTCGTCTTCCTCAGAGCCGGTGATCCGAGTCGATGGTCCATCCTTGTTGTTCGCCTCGACGTTGCGTCTTCGCCTTCGTGTCGAGCCAGATCTTCCTCAGTGAGCCATCTTCTCGAATGAGGCATTCTCACTCAGTGATGCCCTTTTATACACGATGCTGATGGTGGATATATAATGACAATGTCCGATGGTAACAACTTGTATTTCTTCCGGACATACATCATTGCACACATCGTGCAGAGGTCGGTGTATTATCAGCTAGCACAAAGCGTAGTAATATTTCGAAACCGACCTTCCCTAAACCTCGGTGTGACTAATCAATATGTATTCTTTCTTGATGATTCGCTCGTCGCTAAATTCTCTGTTTTCAATTTTTAATGCCATAAATGGTTATTGAACTCCTGATTGTTCTTTTGATATAACGCAAAATATTTTTGAAATATTTTGAAATGTGGGAATTCGCGAATGCTACTAAGGTGGATGATCGCTTCCCATGCAGACTATTTTGCGCTCCTTTCAGGCAGTAAAATGAGTTCATAAGCGCTTACTTCTGTGAAAATGAAATAAAATGACAAGAGGTTAAACGCTCGAGATGGTCGTGATGACGGCGGTGATGAATGGACAAGCCGTTTCCGCTCCTTCACATTCTTTTAGTTGTCGCTGAATATCGTGGAAATTTGTTCACCTGTCATGTAAGTACTGTTTGAAGAGCAAAAATGTGGAGAGCTTAATGCTCATTTGGCCGATAACACACTAGCCTTTTTGTGCATGCAGAAAATTCCTGTCAGGTGGGCTATTTCGGCGTAGCCGACACCGAGCGTACGAAAACGCTATGAAATTGATTAAACTTGCTTGTTATTAACGAGATTTCCAAAATTCCATTTATCGAGTGGTTGGCGTTGATGTGCCAAATTGGTAGCATTGAGACGTCCCAGCGCGACTGCTCCTTTCCAAACGTCTTCCGTGTTTCAGACCTCGAAGACGTGAATTTGGGGTGACAGAATAGAAAGTCGTTCGGCTTTATAGAACATGTTTTTAGTTAGACGACCTCATCTTGCAAAAGAAGGACTTCATCCCACGTTTCTGCTGCATAACAAGGCGCTGTCAGGACCGTTGAACTAGAAATGTGAGTGCGGGTTTTCTGGTCCTTGGTTAGAGACCATTGGAGACAAAGTAGAGTTTTATTGTATAGATATACACATATACAGCAAGCACTTTTTATACATATAGCGTGGGTACTTTTCTTAATACCTGCTGCTTCCACGATGACCTATTTTTAGTGAATAAGAAAAATTCTGAAAAAGATGAGCACTTTAGCGCTACAATTTTAAACGAAATCGAGAACAACCGCACGAATTATTTTCTTTGTCTTCGCCACACCTTTGGAAAGAATCTTCATTTCCTTTCATTTTGAGCAAACTGCTCGAAAGAGTTTGATGTAGAAAGCTTATTAACACAATGGAAAGGTTTTTGTAATTAATCGATGTAACGATAAGTGAAGTTTGCCAGCATAACGCCGCTTCTTTTGGGTGGGATCACAGACAAGTGGCTGGAGCTGGAAACAATGGGACATGCTCTGCCATTCACCGAGCAAAAACTGAAAAAACATTGGGAATTGTGCTAGGCAATACAGTTAACAAATATTGACGATTACCGGTAGCCTGTCAGCTTCTGATCTTTCCGAGCCTTAACCTCGACTTCTCCATGGACACATCTAGGATGTTATAGCCAGAACAGAAAGACTTCATATTCACCTTGACTCTCCTTTCTTGAGATGCCTGAGCGCAGTTATATTTTCGCTCCAACGATAGTAATACTTAATACAATCCCACCCTGATGCCTTAATTGCAAAAATCGAACTGATCTCTGAGAGTGGTTCCAAAAATTAGGCTGTAGACAAGCGATCGTTTCTTGCTCGTTGCCTCGAGATCTTCTCCACATCCTGGTGGCTGGAATAAAGTCAGTCTTCTTGTTTAAATTATATTATGCTATTTTCTACCCGTCGAGCACACAATGCTTGTCATAATGCATGACACTGCCGTAGTCGTAAGTTAGTCCATACACCTCGACGTATGTCGGATTCACTTTGGCGAAGTCGTCGAGTAAAATCGGCTAAATGTGTCGTATAAGTATTCCAAAATAAAACGGCTTACATTATTTTCAAATGGACCCACGTTTATTTTGCGCATAACAAGTTGAATATAACTATCGCGATCAAATCGTTTCATTGTGTGGTGAAGTCCAAGGGTATGACCAACCTCGTGCACAGAACACCGTTCCTATAGCGTGTAACGGAAATGTCATGACCAACCAAAAAACAATGAAGAAGCGTATTAGGCTTTTAAAAATATTATTTTCAATGCTCTATTCCACCTGGCAACCTTTATCGAGTGATAGAAACTGACCCCCGCGGAGTCTCCTGCCACCCGACCAACACCCACTTTTTCGACCACGATAATCTTGTTCTGAGTTGCTCTCATAGGATATTTTTACTGCAAAACTCTGTGACTGTCTAAATTCTTACTTGCTGCCTACTGAAGTTTTTATGGCATGGTATTACGTAAAATACAATCATATTGACGCTGAGATATTTGGAATACTACGTACAGTATGTGACTGCGGTGTCAGGCACCTGCTGCCAGCAGTTTTGCAAATATCTTCGTTACGACCTTTCAACAACATAATAACTCAAATGATGAAAAGATCATTGAGGGGGTACGACATTTTAACGTGTCGCTGGAACCAGATCTGGCGAACACAGACGCACGGCGTGCCACCAATATTGCTTCTTATTCTGCTTTGTATTGCTAGAACGCTTTTGTCAGACGTGCATCATCACGCTGTTCATGAAAACGCGTAAAAGACAGTGTGAAGCTCTCGGCGTTGATCAATCCTTGAGGGATGCACCATGCATTCGACTTTACTAGGAATCGTTTGGAGGTGAATTAATGCATATGTGCTCCTTACAATAAGCCGCAGTGGGCTGCCGACATATCGAGCCAGTGCTGCTACTTTCCCAGACAAGTGTTGTACCAATTTGCCGACCCCGGAGGGATAAAAGGCTTGGTGGACCACGAGAGCGGGGATCGATGCCATTTGTGTTGCAGGGTGCCAACGACTGCTTCGCCACACGCCACCCTAGCCCCATACCATATCGAATTCTGCATATTGGTATTACAAGACACAAAAACCAAGGAAAGCAAACATATGCTAGTTGAGCAGCGGCTTCCTTTTCATTTGGAGAGAGGTGGTCCCATCATGAAATGCCGGTGACGTAAGCTTTGTCGTCTATTCGTCCATTGTCCATTTCGTCAACTCGCATGAGCTCCTTCCCATTCCACGCTCAAACTCCGTCCCGTGCCACAGGAGGACTACTATAAGCAATTCCTCAGAGACCGATAAAGCTGGTGAGAAATAATGAATTTTACAATTATTGGAAGAAATTTATCAGCTATGATGAAGCATATTACAAATATTTTAGCAGAGACTTCAACGCTAAAAAAGGAAAGGCCTGCAAAAGCGAATATAAGATCGGAAATTTTGGATCAGGAGAAAGAATTGAGAATGGAAACCACCTCGCAGAACTCCTGTCTGCACCATGTCTCTTCCGTGCAAACTTTTTTTTTTCAAAAGAAAGAAAGCTGCCTCCGATACAGGAGTCTCTAAAAGAAGCAGCTTATGCTAGGATCGACCATATTCTAACAAACAAAAGACGGTTCCTACTTGACACATCGGCATCCTCGTCATTCTGTTCTGCTTCCGAATACCGCCTTCTACGCACGAAGATTCTATTCATCGGCAAGCTAAAAAAGGCATCATGTCAACGACGACGAGGAAAAAGTCTAGCTGTGTAGCGAGAACACTCTGAACCAATCCATATCCGAGCGTAACTACCAGATTAAAGAACATTAGAATAAGAACTGGGAGCGTGCCGTCGAACGACATAGAAGTTGTTTCGAATCTGCCTCGTTTCTTCGAACAAGCGATCTCGTTCTCATCTGCATTGCAGCAAAAGAGTTCTTTGAGAACAGAAGGAAATAGAAGCTTTAGTCTACTGCAACAGTTTTAAAACGGCTAGTAATATACGACAGTCGCAAAGGAGATTTGCAGAGAGATCTATACACATGTAAAAAGGGGTTCAACATGGCAACACCATGTCATTAAAGCGTTTAGTGCCTCACTGCAGTAGGCAGTGAAGTCACTCGATTACAATGATAAAAGACGTAGCATTAATGGAAGATGTCTACCAAATCTTCGTTTCGTCTTTAACAGCGCCAGTTTTCAAAAACTATGAGCGAAACAAAGACGATAATCAATGAGCTCAACGAAGTGGAAAAAAAAGTTCAGAGTAAATATAAATCGGGAAAAGATCCGATCGGTGAAGAACTCGCCATGCAAACCGAGGAAATCAACCGAAATTGTTCTCCGACTAAAGAGATCATCTCGTACGTATACCGTGGATTTACAGTGCAAACGGGAAAGCAGCATATAGAAATAAACATGAAGAACCACATCCAGAACACGGTATGAGATTTGCGCAAGCCACCATGCTGGAATCAGAAAGCCACCATGGACGAGGACTTCAAGGGAAGCACCATCAAAGAGTCCGAGTAGGTAAGAGTTAACTCTAGAAAACTGGTTATTTTGTAGAGATTAAGAACAGCTTTGGAACCTTTTATAATTAGAGAAAAATAAGTTTATCAGAAACTAACCTGATGTGTTGAAAGTACAGAAAATACTGTTTTGGCAAGTTCTGTTCCCATTTTCGTAGTCTTTAATTATGCTTGGACCCCGGGCCAGATTCGAACCTTCGACTACCTTATCGGATGACTCAAATATCGCCCTAGGCACCACTGAGAGCCTTGCTTTGCCATCCTTTCGGCCATCTCAGTCTTGTTGATGGCACTGTTAGGTAAAAAATTGCCTGAAAGAAGGGCAAAGCAGGGTTTTCGTGGTACAGTGAGTAACAGCTGAATACCGTTAGAAATAGTCGCGTTTTCGAATCCGGCCTGTAGTGCAGGTTGTGCAAATATCTTACAGTAATTTTGGTTATTATTACAGTTTTTGCGGCAATGTTTGACTGATGTGGTTTTGATCAATGCACGCATTTATAACAACTACTCCTGGTGTCCCAAGATCTGCCTGGCCAAAGTCTGCCCTAGGTCGCCACCACCACGGTCAGTCGCCGCCTTTGTGGATCGGAGGAAGATTCGCCACCAAGCGACTTTGATACCAGCAGGGTGGTGGGTTCTGATATCGGTTTACTCTTAACTGGGCATCCTGATCGGAACACCGGAATCCTCAACATGGACAACTCTGTCGTGGTGACGAATCCCACCGTTGTACTTTGGGGCCGACACCCAGGAACCTCCCAGCCATGATGAGGCGGTAATCCGCCGGGTTGCTTCAGGTGTTTCCAGTTCGAGAACAGAATCGTTTTGCGTTTTTATCTGAAAACACGCTGGCACCAAGTGCTTACAGTAGTTTAAAACGGCCTTAATTCAACAAAGGCAGTGAAATAACGTTTCAAATGAATAACTGCCACTGACAGTGCTAATGACAGAAGTGTTGAAAATGTGAATACCATTTCGAACCGTCTTTCTTTTTTATTTGCAACTAAATGAATTTGCCCACCTGCGATGCAAACAGTGTTTTGTTGGCAACAATTTTTGTGACGTGCGATTATTCATCTGGTTACATCTGGTAATTATGCGTGTACATTTGGTTGTTCTGCGCGAACGTCTGGTTATTCTGCGTGTGACCACTGACTGTGGCAGTTATTCATTTGAATAAATATATATATATATATGTATTTACGTATATATGTGTATATATGCATTTGCACATGAGTATGTGCAAGTGTGTCTATACTTGCAAACGTCTGCACCTAAATACAAATATGTATACGTTTGTATGCATGTGTAGTATTTGTATATGTAATGCATTATATATGGTTATGTGTACTGTATACGTGCATGTGATTACGGTATAGCAACTGAATTAGCTTGCACCGATAGGATTAAGCAAACGAGAAAGCCTTTGAGAGCAACTCAGCTTCTCAGGAAAACAGCTACAGACAAGGTGGATTTTGTGGAAGTAGTGCAAGGATCATGTACAGACGATCCTTTGAAAACTGAAGGGATATGCTTATGTTGGATATTTGGTTCCCTATGGGAGCTTGTGAAGCATGCAGGGCTACTCACTGCATACTTGTTCGATCATCGATCGACGTATAAACAGCGATGTTGTGAAAATCATGGACAAAGCTCAGTTTATACTCATCTACGGCTTCAAACTATTCTTGGCCTCGCACTGCACTATCTTGCTATCATGCTGTAATGAATTGAATAAGTCCCAGTCTGTGGTGGTTTTGCGTCAATGGTTTTTCAATTTAGCGGCTTTTTCTCCTTTCTGCAAAATGTAGAATCTAGCACGGAAGAGGCGGCGGTTTGATCCCTTGGAAAATTTTGGGACGACATCGACATCATCGACAATGGCTACATTACAAAGTGGTACCGAAAGCCAAGTAGTAAAAATATCTTGGTTCATTACCTCTCCTCTCACCCCTCTCA